CTATAATTCTAGAGGCTGGGAAGTCTAAGATTAAGAGGCTGGCAGATTTGATGTCTGGGCTCACTGCTGCCCAGCAGACAGCTGCATTTTCACTGTATCTTCTTATGAATAACAGGGAGACGATCTTTCTTGTGTCTCTTCTTAGAAGGGCACTAATCCTATCAAGAGGACTTCACCCTCCTGACCTACTCACCACCTAAAGGCCCACGTCTCATATATCATCTTGCGGGTTAGGGTTTCTACAGATGAATGTGGGTGGACACACACATTTGGTCCACTATGCTGTTACATATGGCAGCACAGCTTTGCTCATGGGATCTCCATGTGTTCCAGGCCCTGGGCCCCACGCACTTTATGACATTACATGACCATGGCCATTCTACAAATAGGACACTGTTATCACCCCCATTTTACAGATCTAGAAACTTGTTTTTAGAGGAAACACAGCTCGTAAGCTAGAGTTGAACTCGAGTCACTCTGTCTCCAAAGCTTGTGTCCTTAACCCACACCTTTAACCTCTCTACTGCCCCTTGGCAAGTGAACTAGGATTGCCTTTTGCTACAGGTAACAGAATCTGACCAGAACCTAAACAGTGAAGGTTTTGGCGCCTTATTTCCTTTGCTTAACAAAGAGCTCAATGCAAACTAAATGCTCAATGATGTTTGTTAAATGACTGTGAGAGAGTAAGTTCCTTAAATAATAATCCTGCTATTTTGCATCAATGTCATATTTTATTGTCATTGTTCCTTGCTCATAGTTCCTGGAAGTACAGTACCAGCATGCTCATTTCAGAAGTCACAGAGTAGACCCTATGTACTTCTACCTGTGCAAACAAATCTGCAAAGGCCAGGGCAGGTTTAATACCTCCATTTTGCAGAGGAAGAAACTGAGGCTGAGAGTTTAAATGGCTTGCCTGAAGTCACAGAGTAAGAGCATTGCAGTGGAGAATTCAAAGGCATTTTCCTGCGTTCAAGATCAGCACTCTTTCTCTGTGTTGGTAAACCTCCTCCTCTGAAGAATGCTGTAGGCTCTAAGATGCATATCGGTTTTTTCCCCCCTCATTTGCATTATTTTTGGAAATGGGCTTAAGATTTTACCAATGGGCCCATTTAAGTGCAGTCATCCAGGTGTGACGTGGTGAGGAGAGGGCATGGCTGGCGGTCCTCCCTCCTCCCTGCCTCCCCTGGTCTCAGGTCCTGCCGTGGAAACAGCTGTGAGGCCAAGTCTGAAGCCAAGGAGAGAAAACCTATTAGTTCCTAGTATGATAATCATATAACAGAAATGTATGGTGCCCAGAGGGAGAGAATTACAAATGGATGAAAGGTGGCTATTTAATGTGCAGCATTGTTTGTAGGGTATAAAAATAAATAGAGGGAAACAGAGTGCAAACAGAACCTGCAGCAAAAGAGGCAAATGGGCCTGTTTCGTTGGTGCCCCTGTTACCACCCATGACCCAGCAGAATGACAGCCGTGCTTAACGTGGCCTGCTTTGCCATCTTGCCAATAGCACCACTGTTTATCATTATTTGCCAGTCTTCAGGGGCTTTCTGGCACTCCCAGTGAATGACAAGGGCCTTTGTCCCCTGCTCCTTCCCCTGTGTCTGCTGGCCTTGCCCCTGCCACCTCCCTCCAGCACATCTTGGGTTCAGGCCCTGGCCCACATGGTCAAGAATGGGATAGCACCCCCCCTCCGCCACCGCACTGTCCCCTCAACACAGGCTGTCTTGCAGGACTGTCTGTGTGTGCTTGGCACACGCTGTGAGCAGTCCCAGGGAGGGGGAAAGGGACAGACAAGCCTAGCCTTTGCTGACACATAGTGTCAGGGTCCTTCAAGAGCTCTGGCTTCTGGCTCAGCCCTTCTCCCTCTCAAATTAGCTCAGATCAACATGAGCTTATCCTCTGCAAGGGACACCAGGGTCCTGCACCCCAGGTGCACAGCCTTGGTAGGAGTTCTGTCCACTGCCCTCTGCTGCAGCCCTCAGCCTGCCCTGGGTTGGTCCTGCGGTCTTCTGCTTGGCTTGGTGCTGCCAGGACACTTGGTGTGGCCTGTGTGGCCTGAAATCCAGCTGCACTCCACCAAGAATGTGGGCCACCCATAAGAGACCTCTCTTTTCTCCAAACCCCGCCCCTTTCCAGGCTTCACCATTCTTGAGGAGGTGCCTGACCTACCGCCTGCCACCAATGCTACTTGTGAATCACTCTTTCTCCTTTGTCCTCTCCCTGCCACCCTCCCTGTGTGCAGATCCCGTTTCCCTCTTTCGATGCTCTTTCTGATTTCTATTCTCTTCACTCTGCCCAGCTCAGTGTGGTTACATTGGGCAAGGATGGAGGGAGAAGGTCCTGGCAGCCAGAAGGAGCAGGAGGCTGGGCTTGTCCTAATCTTGCAACGCCACCAACTGCCCACTATCCAGGCCTGTGTGCTTTTGTCCTGCCTGGGACTGGCCACTCTGCTGCTCTAGCTAAGCCCCAAATCAGGGGAGGTGCAGCCTGCTGCTCCAAGACGGTGTGCAGGTTCAGGGGGCTCCTGCAGGCTGAGGCTCCGCCCTGTCAGCCCACACTTTGGTGCTGGTCCCTGGCTACCCTGGGGTCCACCAGCTCTGCAGCCACTGTGAGACAAGCAGGATGTCTGTGAAGCTGCTCTGGGGCTCTGGATTTCCAGGGTTGACCATTGTGGCCTCACTGGCCACTGTGGTCAGAGCGAGTTTACCTTTCCCTGTCCCATATTACTCTGGATTGCTCCCCAGAATCCTCATCACTTCCATGTTTGTTAGGGTCTCAAAACCAAACCAAACCAAACCAAACCAAACCGTGACCAGGGGGCCACATGTGCTTGCAATGCGAAGCTACTACTGAGTACTGGGGACACCTTCATTTTGCTCACATAGAACTTCCTTATGCAGCCCATTTCTGTCTTTCAAGGTCAGATAACCATGAGCAGATTCTCAGTGTTTTCCAGGCTTTGTCAAATGATCCAGCCACACACATCCAGGGCCCTCACGGGGACCCTGGATAACATCTACACTTGGGAAGCAGAGGACCAAACCCTGGACCAGGGAGCTCTACCAGGGTCCTGCAGAGTGGCCTACTGCCTGGTGGCTCTGTGACAGACTCTCCTTTATCAGAGCTATTATATTGGGGCCCAAGAACACAACAAAGCCTTGACAAAATGTACGATATCTGGGAGAGACAGAACACGACAGCCTAGAGACCCCAGAAATCAGTAGCATAAGCCAAAAAGTTGTTCATTCCCCTACTCAAGAGGTTAAGAAGGGCATGTTGGGTAAGTCAGGCTTCTTAGAGGAAGTGGGCAGAGAGAGGGGAGGGAGCCACCTACAGTAGGAGGCTGTGAGAAAAGGAACCTTTGTCTGTGTAAACCAGAGGCTCAGTTTTCTGTCCCATGAAGTCCTATTTGGTATACAAGGCGATGGTCTGGAGAATATGACGTGGGTGCTCTTCCTCTCCACTGCCATTCCCTGAGCTGCTGTTGCTATTTTCTCAAGTATGCAGTAGTGATAGGATGTGTTGTTTATCTGCTACCTCCCTTTCGCGCTCTCCTCACAGGCAGCCAAGCTGGGAGAGATGCTGAGCCATGGCCGTTCCGAAACCGCCAGGCTCCCCTGGAGAGGAAGAGGGCAGGGAAGGCAGAGAGGATGGTGGGCAGCAGTGCCTGATATGTGTCCCTTTTACTTCCCAGGACTTCCTATGGTCCTGGGAAAGGATTACTCAGTTTGTAAAGGGCAGTTGGGGAAAAAATTTCTTAATATCACTGTGTACAACTCAGGTATAACAGTGAGAAGCCAGGTCACCTAGAGACCCTAGAAGTGTTTTTGATAATTTAGGCAGGAGAAGGATCCCTCCAGCCCTCTACTGTTCAGTTCTAAATTCCTCTGAAAATCCTTCTTCCTCCCAATTTGCAAGTCTCTGAGACTCTTATCTTTGTTCACTGATAGGAAACCATGTGATATATATAAGTTTTATACTTTTGCTTAATAACTAATTTGTGCTTAGAATCTACTGCCTTTTTATTGAAAAAACTGCCAGTTCTGCTTTTCTGAAGAGAGAGGTAAGGAGAGGATCTGGGCACGGTGGGTAGCTGTAGTCCCAGCACCTTGCGAGGCTGAGGCAGCAAGCTTGCCTAAGACCAGGAGTTTGAAATCCGTCTGGTCAACAGCAAGAACTGTTTCCAGTGGGGAGTGGGGAAGATGCTCTTGCTTAACATGTGTGAGTCCCTGAGTTTGATCCTCAACACCAGAGAAAACAAGCAAGCAAACAACAATAACAAAAAAAACCAAAAAAACAAAATGGAGAGTAATATACTTCATTCCTAAGTCCTAAAGCCATGGATTTCTGCAAACAGTTTAACCAGTAAAGAATCTAGAGGAGAAATTTCAGCAGGTCAGAACTTTGGAAGACTTGATGTCTTTAAAAAATTCTGGACCCATTTCATTTGATTTTTTAAAGAAAAAAACTGAAATGACTCACCAAACAATTCACATAAAAATGATATATAAGCATTGTTTTGAATGAAAATAAACCCTATATAAGTAATAAATCTTCTTCAGGCCCATTGGAAATGGACAGCAATAATGTTGTGTTTACTGCCTTACTCCTGAAGCATGATATTTATTATAATTCAATACAATTCATTGTAGGAGTCTGGCATTTGTAAAATTCTCATCATGGTCTTAGTGTAAAAAGCATTTCACAGGAAGCATTGTGATGATAAAGTATAATTAGTGGCTTGCAAACAGCTGTAATTCTTTGGTCAGAGGGCAAGGAATGTGGTCAGTGAAAGGCTGTGTGTGGTCCCTCCCCTCTCTGACCATTTCCATGAGGTGAGCTGCTCACCTGGAGTGCAGGTCACCCAGGCAGTGGGGCAAGGCTTGGTGCCAGGCTTCACCAGCCTCTTTAACTCTCAGCTATTGGATTTTCTTCTAATGACCAAAGAACAACCCCAGGCCCCAATCCCACTACTCATGCTGGTTTTTGTTCTTTTACAGTTTCCTCATCTGGATGCTCAGCAAGTTGGATTCCCCAAGCACAAGCCCAGTGGCCTACCTGGAAGAAGCCGGGCAGGTGTGGGCAGTCTGAGCTCATGATACAGTGTGAGTCCTTGGGCTACAACACAGGACCCGGGCGCTGATTTGACCCCTCGTGTCTTGTGTTGCAGCCGGAGGGACACAGGTCTGCAGCAGAGCCTGCTCAGAGGCCCTCGGAGATGGCACAGGGAACAAAGGCAGAGATTCTGAGAAAACCAAGGGAGAAGGCGGCGGAGTGATTGGCAGAGAGTTCCGCTTCATCGTCCTGGGCAGCGCCTGCCTGGCCCTCCCTTATCTTTGCTCAGTCTCCTCCTATGTGGCTTGGCCCCCTCCCTGGTTCACTTTAGCTCTGGGTGACACATTTTCTGCAAGATGGGTTTCACTGATGAATTTACTGTCCAGCAGGATGGAGACAGAAAGGAAATGAAACCACATTACGAATTTCCATGGGAAGTGGCAGACCCTCCCGCTCCCCATAAGGGACCCCACCCTTAAAGATGGGAGGTGAGAGGTGTCAAAGACAAGGCTCCCTCATCCATTCAGCCGTCACAGCACTGGGCTGGACCCTGAGGATGCCAGGTCCAGTGAGGACGCCCCGTGTGCACACATGGGGTCTATGGGTCATATTTCTGTGAGTTTCCTGCCCTGGATGGCATCCTTTAGTCAGACACAGACGTGCGGTGACCCCGTACCTGCCCTGTGTCCTGGGGGAAAAGCAGCTGTCTATTCCCCCATGTTTACCCTGGCCCCACGCTGCTCTTACCCCTTCCTCTTTGACAGGAAATTGACTAGTTTTTGGTGACATTCATCTGTGTTTTTCTTCTTTTGAAGGATTTGGAGGGGAGCCAAATAGAATGAGAGGCTGTATTTAAATAGGAATAACGGGAAAGCAGGAGGTTGAGTGGATTGAGACAAAAGGGAGGAGCTGGGCTCCCCCACACAACAGGTAATAGTTAAATCAACGCTGCCACGGTTGCCATGTGGGAAGCCTGTGTTTTCCTGCATGGCAGAAGCTGGCAAGAAACTGAAACCAGGCTGGGGCAAGTGAGCAGCCACAAATGAAGACCGGAGGAAGGAAGTGGACAGGACTGGCTGTACTTCACTAGGCGGGCATGTCGTTTTGTCAGGTTGGTGGGATACTGGGGATTTAACCCACGATCTTCACACTAAACTACATCATCAGTCCCTGTTTACTTGTTATTTTTGGCCTTACTAAGTCATCGAGTTACCCAGGCTGGACTGGAATTACAATATATCTGCCTCAGCCTCCCAGAGTGCTGGTGTTGCAGGTGTGTTACCACCACCATGCCTGTAAGGTTTTCACTGCTGTGCTTTCAAAGAAAAGTTATTCCTTTCTTTCCCTTTTCCTTCCCTTTCTGACCAGTTTTGTCTAGAAGTTACTCCAAGGAGCTGAGCAAGAGGTGTCTCGGAGGGAGTCTCAGTGGTTTGGTGGGAGGCACCAGAACACTAGGGGGTGAGGTTGGCATCAGCTCTGCATGGGACTCCAGGGCAGGAGGGTGTCTGTATTTGGGGCAGGGCTCTGTCAGGAAAATGGGCTACTTAGAGTGGGAACAATCAAATAATACAACAAGGAACATAGAGGTAGCATGTCCTAGCCAAGAAGAAAGTTTCGTTATATGGAAAATAAAAACACCAGAATAACCATTGTTGGAATAGAACTGAAATAGTTATGGCGAGCTTATGTCTTTTATAGATGGACAAAGACATGTACACATACACACAATTACATAGCAGTGTCCATGGGGAGGACCATAGGGAGGGACTGGGACATCCCTACAAAAATGTGCCCACATTTGGTTTTCCAATACTGTTTTCCTTTGAAAGTATCTGGGGCTTCTTGGAGAAATAGATGATTCTAGGTCTGGGAGAGAAATAGACAAAGGTACCTGGAACCTCTTATCTCAGAAAGTAAAGAATCTCTTAATTGAATGATGAATGCTTGTCCAGAGGACACTGGCCAGCTAAAGAGTTGTCCACTGGCCATGTTAGACTATTCAACCACTAAAATATGTATTGATATGTAGTTTAATATATGTATTTTCAGCCTAAAGAATAAAGTGAAAAGCTGTGAATTCTGCTGACTTAAAACTGTAATAAATGAGTATGTTGAAAGTTGAAGAGGAAAAGAGTTTTTACACAGTCTTGGTGTACAGCCCACTAATGGCAAAGGCAAAATGACTTTGAATGTCATCAGTAATGAACAGAGCACATGAAGGCCACCTGTTGGGAGTTGTAGACCCAGAATTAATTCCATGATAATCCCTAAATCTAATCTCTCTCTCTCTCTCTCTCTTTCTCTCTCTCTCTCTCTCTCTCTCTCTCTCTCTCTCTCACACACACACACACACACACACACTTGCACACTAATCAGACACGTCAGAGTAGAGAAACATTTTCTGAAATGACGAACCTGTAATTTTCAAAAAATTTAATGTCTTGAGCCAGGCATGGTGGCACATGCCTATAATCCCAGCCCTTGGGAGGCTGAGGCAGGGGAATTGCCCTGAGTTTGAGACCAAGTTAGGCCAGTGAGTTCAAGGCCAGCCTGGACTACACAGCACTTTGTCTCAAAAAGATGAAATAAAAAAAAATTAACGTCTTGAAAAGCAAGAAAAGACCGAGAAACCTTTCCAGATTGAGAAAAACTAAAGAGGGATCACAATCAAAGGCATTATGTAGTTCTGGACTAGATCCTTTTGTTACAAAAAAAGCATTATTAGAGACTGGGTATGCAACTCAGTGATAGAGCATGTGCTTAACATGCTCAAGGCCCTGATTTAAATTTTAGTGCTGCAAAAACAGAAAAGCAAGCAAAGAAAAACAAGAAATTATTGAGATAATTACCATAAGTTGGCCGGCTTCTAGGATAGGATGGTGGTGATTAACAAGATTGACTTCCTGGTTTCGAGTTACTTTGGGCTTCTGTAGTGAAATGTCTTTGTTTGTAGGGATCACACACTAAAACACCAAGAATGAGAACAACATGTCCATACATCATTATCAAATGACTCATTTTACGTTCGGAAAAAGTTCTTTTTGTCAGATTAAAAGAAGTTATTTTTGTCAGTCATTGTGGCACATGCCTGTAATCCCAGCACTCATGAGGCTGAGGCAGGAGGATTGCTTCGAGTTTGAGGCCAGCCTGGGTTACGAAGTGTGTTCAAGTCTAGCCTGAACTGCATAGTGAAACCCTGTCTCAAAAAGATGAAAAGATTCTTTTTATTTATCCCTGCAGTTTTTCTGCTAGTTGAAACTGTTTCATTTTTTCCCTTTTTTTTTTTTTGATAGAGGTTCTTGTTATGTTCTAGAGTGTTCTTGAACTCACTGTGTAGCCCAGGTTGGCCCAACTTGCAATCCCCTTGGCTCAGCTGCTAACATGTCAGGACTATAGGTGTAGGCCATCACTCAAAATATTTTAAACGCACTTGAAAGACAAAGTTACAGTTTCTTGTAATGTTAAAAATTTTTGCTTATTAAACAAAATTGGAAATGAAACTATGTTTCTGCAACTCAAAAACCACCACTGTTAATATTTTGCTCTGTTTTCTCCAAGGCTTTTTTTTTTTTTTTTTTTATGTAAACTAAGAAGAAAAATGTTGGAGCTAGGAATTTAGCTCAGCGGCATAAGTGCCTTCCTTGCAAGTACAAGGTTGTGAGTTCGATCCCCGGTACCAATTAAAAAAAAAAAAGGAAAATGTTTATAATTTCAGTAGTTGATACTAGAATTCTTCTTAGGCAATTGTCTAGGAAGGAAAAAACCTTAGGATGGTAAATGATGTCCTGGCGGTATGGGTTAGCAAGCATAAAGGAATCAAAAGAAGCATCTAGGTTGTTTTTAGACTTTAATGAGTAATTTGTGGGTGTGGGGAGAAAAGGATGGGTCAGGGTGGTAGGTATTTTATTATGCAGTCTGATGTTTGTGTTGCTGAGGAAGTCATCATCCTGTCTCACTAAAGTCTGTTACACCTGCAAAGGCCTTATGTAAGTAGAATTCTGTTGGTTTGCTGGTTTGGGTGGAACTTGGGGGAAGGGGTTGAGTGTTACATTAACAGCACATGTGAGGTGGTTCAGTGATTCATAAGATGAATTAATTTAAGGGAAGTATTAGTTTGGAGATTATAAGAATTTTTAAAATTTAAAATTTAATCTTAAAGGGAATAAAACAATAAAATGAATTGAAACACTGATAAGACAGTAGGAAATCTACAATAGTTACCATATTGCATATTGTTGTCTTCTAAATAGTTGTTCAGACTACTGGCATTAGGCTTGCAAAGTCAGTAAAACAACAGCAGTTCCTCCAAATCAGCAGGTTGCTCAAGGAAGGGGATGGGGTTGGGGGTGGAAGGTGTTGTTCTTCTCTCCCCAGCCTGGGTACCTGCTGGCTCACAGACCGAGGCTTAGCTTCCTTTCTGGTTCTCTCTATTTTTTACTCTAAATCTCTAGATAATAACTTTCTGAGTTCCCAGAGGTGACATCTGAGCAAAATATATTGGCAAACTATAGGCAACATGTATCATTGTAAAGCAACTTTTTGGCCAGGAATTCCCAGGACTTCATAAATAGTCTCATAAACTCACACAATAAAAGGCCATTAACTTTATTGTGATGTAAGAAATCTGAGTCCCTGGTGCTTAAATGATCTGAAAGTTGGAGAGAGCCAGATAAGAAGGTGACTGAATGAAGTATTGGTCACCCTAGCCACTTGAGATTTCAAGTAATTTAAAGCCACTTGGTTCTGGTGACTGTGTTATAAATTAAGCACTGAGAATTTCAGAAGTCTGTCTGCTTAGAGATTGTCCTGCTCTGCCGGTCATCTGTAGATAGTTCCCATCATGGACCTCGAGATCAGCGTAAGTACCTGTCCTTTACTCTCTCACCCACTTTGACCATTGCCACTGTGTCATTTAGCCCTGATTTTTTTCCTTGACTGGATTAAGAGACTCCCTAACCTCCTTAACTCATGGAGGAGTTCCTAGCTGGGTGGGCTACTAGGAGATGGGCCTGTCGGAGAGGCGGGTCCTGGAGTGTGACCTGGAAGCTCTATCTGGCTCCCGGCTCCTTCCTCTGGAACTCTTCCCCTGCAGCCTGCTTCCCAGATGCAAGGAATCAAGCAGATTTTCTCTACTGTTCCCTTCCACTATGATATTTCTGCCTGAGAGCCAGATGACCACAGATTGCAATTTCTGAAATCATGACCAAAAATAAACCTCTCTTCCTCGTGTTGTCCCAGCAACAGGAAAGCTGACCAACGCAACCATGTCTCCTTTCCTTGGCTGCTGGTGAAGAAAAGCAAGAATTATTTGCCCTGTACCAAGGCCTTTTCTTTGCCAAATGCTCAGATGATACTTAATCTTCACAACAGCATTGGAAGCTGTGCATTTCATCCGTATCTTACAGATCAGCACAGTTCTCGGCACAGTAACATGGGGATAAGAGGTCTTTCCATAATAATGCTTGTTGAATGAATGACAGTAATTGTACATTCCAAACTTCCCACAGCCCAGCTTTTAAAAGCTGTGTTTGAGGCTAAGGAGTCATACATTTCAATCTTAGGGAAATGTCATAAATATGTTAACATTCTAGAATAAAATCTTTCCCTCTTAACTAGAGAATATGGCAGGCATAAGCTAAATAAAATTCTTAAGAAAAAGAGAAAATTGCTGGGAAAATATTCACCCCAAAGTTGACAGTGCTTCCATAATATTTGGAATTTAAATCTGATTGTGAGTTAAGTTTCAAGGGGTGACAATTCTGAACAAGTAGACTGAGACTAAACAAACAGTTGCTGCATCCTACTTCTCAGCAGTTAATTATACTGAGAACTCTGCTTCCTAGGAAGAATTGTTATAAAAAATTATAACTAGTGGTTGAAGTGGAGATTTTTTTCCTCTTAAAAAATGTGTGGCAAAGAGCTTTGTTGGAGCTGTACCATTTTAGTTAGAAAAGAACTACTGTATTAAATTTGTTCTTCTTTTGGCAGCTGGAAAAACTGTCAGTCAAGAGTGCTAGTCAAGAGCCACAAAAATTATTCAAACAGGAGAGAATGAATCTTGTAAAACGTTCAGGTGTGGAGAGGCCCTCAGAGCCCCGGAAAATATTCTGCATTGCTTAATGCTGAACACTAATTGATAGATCTCTGCTGATTGCTGTGAGTTTTAAAGCTGCATTCAGATTAGGCTTTCTCTGCCTTGGAAGATATAGCAATTAAAACGTGCTTTAATATAACTGAGAATGAGCCCAGGAACAGCGTGGGGGCTCCGTGGGCATATCCAATGTAACGGCAGAGGTAGGGTTGTCACAAGTGCTGCAGGTGGGTAAACAGCTCAATGCACTGATTTCTAAACAAAGACTCTGAGCTCAGTCCTCTGACAGTAGGACAGCAAGGAGCTTCCCTTCCCCTACTGCACTGCTCCCTACTCTGCCCTGAGTGTCTCTTTTCGCCTTTCCTGTTGTCCTTCTTTCCCTTTGCTCTTGGAGCTTCCACGGGCCCTGGTCAGGGTGGTCAGGGCCCTGGGCTCTAGTGACAGTAACTAAAACTTTCTGTGGCTTCCATCCTTGCAACGAGCTTCACCGAATGTAGTTATTTCTAGAATTATTGGAAAAAGGAGCAGACCAGAAGTAAACCCTTTTCTGTTCATTCCACCCACTTGGTGCCCCCAAAGGTGGATTTCTATGCGCTGTGGCAGCTGGGATTTCTTGGCCTGTGGCTTCTGATTAGCTATGGAGGCATCAATTGCAGATCAGAGGATGGTGAGTGAAAGAGAGGTTGTATTTACACTCCTCTTGGGTCCAGCCCACCCTGCCCAGCACTCATCTGTCTGGTAGGCGCTGCCCTGAGGCCACTGTTCTCCTTGGATTCCACTAACAGCTCCCTACTGCTTCTGTTTAAAGGCTCAGGAGTTAAAGGCTGTCCTTCTGTATCCCTGGGTGCTCCCCCATATTTCTCTGATCCCTCAGGTAACTCTTTGCATGTTTTCTGTTCTTGCCCCGTTTGTATAGTAGTCTTCAGTGCCCTTTGCAGCAGCTCTGCATTAGCTGCTGGGACTGTGCTACCCGCAGTGTCTTAAGTCCTTCCTGAAGAAGTGACTATGTGAGTATTAGACACCAAA